AGAAAATTTGTTCAGCAAGTGGTGCTGGGAAAACTGGGAAGCTACATGCAAAAAAATGAAACTAGATCACTGCCTCACTCCAGTCACAAAAATGACCTAGACATAAGAATGGGAACCATAAAATACCTAGAAGCAAAGATGGGTCAAACACTACACGACATACACTTCAGCAACATCTTTAAATAGAGCACTCGGCCCCACCCTTGTGGTGCAGCAGCACTGAGAAGCTTAAGCCACTTCCACATGAGTTTGATTGCCGCCTGCCCAGAGGAGATCCACATGGCGAGACAGACCTCTCCTTACTCGCCCACTGATCCCCTCAGCAGTGTCTCAGGTGAATCCTCTCACCCTCCACATCTCTGGCCTGTACCACAGTTCTATATGAATGAATAAATAAATCTTAAAAAAAAAGATAGAGCACCCAATACCACAATAGTTTAGGCAAGGATAAATAGATTGGATTACATCAAGTTAAATAGCTTCTGTACAGCAAGAGACATTACAAAAAACACAGACAGCCTAGTAATTGGGAAAACGTTTTCTCACACAAAACCAGTGATAAAGGATTGATCACAAAAATATACGGAGAACTGACAAAACCCAACAAAAATAAAGTAAAAATCCCCATCAAAAAATGGGCAGAAGAGATAAAAAGACACTTCTCCAGAGAGGAAATGCGGATGGCCAACAAACATATGAACAAATCAAAATCACTCGTAATAAGGGAGATGCAAATTAAAACCACAATGAGATACCACCTCAGCCCAGTAAGAATGGCACATGTTCAAACAACTAGCAGCAACAAATGTTGGCAAGGGTATGGAGAAAAAGGAACTCTCCTGCACTGCTGGTGGGTTGCAACCTAGTGGTTGCAACCACTATGGAAAACTGGAAGTTCCTCAAACTGTTTAACATGGAGCTTCCCTATGACCCAGCAATTCCACTCCTAGTTATCTACCCAAAAGACACAAAGACACTGATCGAAAAAGATACCTGCACCCCCATGTTTATTGCTGCTTTATTTACAATTGGAAAAACATGGAAGCAGCCCAAATGCCCAAAAGTAGATGACTGGATTAAAAAGACATGGTACATATACACAATGGAATATTACTCAGCAACCAAAAAAAAAAAAGAAAAAAAAGAAACACATGTCTTTTGCAGCAACTTGGATGGAGCTGGAAAAGATCATGTTTAGTGAGATAAGCCAGAAAGAACAAGAAAAATGCCAGATGGTCTCACTGATAGCAGGAATATAGTGGACCAGTCAAGAAAATAATTAGAATAATGAACAGCCATATACCAGAGACATTTTGTGGGGTGGAGTGGGGAATGGGATAAAAAACGGGGGGGGGAGGGAAGTTCACTGGAATATGGTGATGGCACTTGGGTCATTTGTGATTGGAAACCCACGGGGATTACAATTGAGATGAAAAAAAAAGTACAAAATGATGTTAAAACAAACTATTACATAACAAGAGAAAGAGAGAGAGAGAGAGACAGAAACCATCCAGTATTTTTAGTTTTCTTTCTGGCTAATTTCACTTAGCATGATCCTTTCCAGCTCCATCCATGTTGATACAAATGGTATGAGTTTATCTTTTTCATCACTGAATAGTATTCCATTGGCTTTATGAACTCTCTGACAGATTTTTGGCATTAATTTCGAAGTTCAATTCATGGGAAGACATAGCATGCAAGGTACTAGAAATACAATGTAATTTGACATATGGAAACTATAAATGTTTACTTTTTATTTCTCATGTGTGTAAGTACTTACTTTGTTCTGAACTGTATCTTGAAACATCAATTTCTGTGGAAGAATTCAGAAAATATTTCCATGAAATTCTTATGATGACAATGTTTTCTGTTTCTCAACCCTACTCACTCTGTACTGTGCTTCTTTGCTGCCAAGGCAGCCTTCATTATGATGTATTATTGATTCCCACCTTTAGGTATCTCTGCCCATCCCTGTCCTACCTTTCTCTCCTGCTACACTACTGATTCTCCAAGCATCACAGGAATTGAGAATGAGCATGAGGGTGGAGATTAAGCTGTCTAGAAGGGATATTGAATAAAGTATGGAGAGACCTAATGGCATGGAAATAGATCATTGCTTTTATGAGTCCATCTCTTTCTCTTTTTTTTCAATCTTTGTATTATGCATTTATTCTTCATATACCAAAACAATAGCCTAATTTTTAATATATTTACTAAAAACCAAACCAAACAAAATACTGACATATAAACTTCGCCATTAGGTACGAATTTATTTCTATTTCATTGGCATATGTATTTATCTTATCACTTCTCCAATATTAAATCTTTAAAATTCTCAATTTGCACATTATATTATCTAGTGGTGTCTATTAACATAGTGTCTTCTCACTTCTTTTTTGCCTCATTTAATTCCTCTTGGAGCTCAGATAATTTCTTTTTAGTTTATTTTTGTTAGTACTATTGTGAAAGTCAATCTGTGATTTTTTTAATTATTGAGTTTAGAAAATTTAAAAATGCAGAGAGACTTTATAATAGATCAGAGATGCTTGATTCATCTATTGAAACACATTCTCAGAATCTTGGCATAGTCATTAGTTATCTGTAAGTTGAAATAACATCACGTTGAATTTTGGCCTCCCTCCCTCTGTAATTTCTGCTGAAATCTGTGTATTGATTCATTGTTACTTTCCATTGAGCTTGCGACGTGTCCACCTTGTTAGCAAAATAGCCAGAATGGCAAATCCCAGAAGAGTCAGGATGACAGCCAGAGTTATTTCTGAAACAAAAATACAGGCCTGATTATTTAGATCAGATAAATTCTGGGCACCTGCTTTTGTTTTAAGCATTGTTCTGCCACTTGAATTTCCTCTTCCTATTTATTGTTCATTTTATTATACTCATACTCTAAAAAGATAATAAATGGTATTTATTACTCTATAAACCCTGTAGTTGGCAATTTTGATCAAATACTAAGAACCTTAGGTACATTGTCACATTGGGTTAGAGTGGGAAGTTTTACATATTACCTCCTCAAATGAATCCCTTACTGTTCATGCAGGTGACTAGCAGGATTTAGTGGTATGGAAAGCACTCCATTGAAATGTGGGGAAAATGCTTGGTCTATTTTGATGTAATTTTTTTTTCTTACAGCTTTAAAAAATTCTGTATTTTCTGTTCTAAAACATGTGCTAGTACAAGAGGATTTCCATACACATAAATACATAAATTGGCAACTCATGCTCAAAATATTTTCACATGGTGAAAAGTTAAAAAAAATTGGAAGTCACTTACTAAAAGTGGCCATAATTAATGGTAGTCTCAATTTGGAACAGGAATTTCCTGTATTTAGAAAGATCTTTTCAGTCATTACCCACCAAGTTTATCATAAGTGATATTTGTGGTTCTTTACTTAAGTTAATAGGAGAGAGCGTATCAGATTTGCCTAACCTGTGTTTATGTGTGTGTTCTGCAACCATCTCTGGCTGGGTAGATTCATCACTGGCTCAGACAGCTTGAAAGAGAATCTCAGAGCTTTTGGCATCATCTTCACAGGTTAGGGGAGACAAACCAGCAGGGAGAGAGCAACTTGGGACTCCTTACAAATCTCTATACTCTCTTTGCTCTCTTAGACATTATCTGACACTCATCACTGTCCTTGGCTTCCTGGTCTTCTGCCACACTATGCTTTCTTCTATGTTCAGTCTCCACACACAGGTGTCCCCACTCATTCAAGCCCACACCATACTTCAGGTGCTGCCATCAGGTGTACGTTTAAGGCCACAGTTGTCAATCATTGATGCTAATGGTGGTGGTGGGGTGTGGGGAACTGATCACTACAATTTTCCTTGCAGTGTCATAGGATAGATACCTCAGTTAAACAGATAGCTTGCTATCATTATGAAGAACAGAGATTATGGAGTTTATGGATCAAGAGGGAGGGTAGGAGATGGGGGAGTAGAGAGAGTAAGAGAGCAAGAGAGAGGAAGAGAAAAAAGGAGCTAGAGGAAGGGTGGAGTGAATGAAGCAATAATAGATCTGCCCATGATAGTGAAAAATGTTGAAGTATTATTAATTACATCAAGATTATGTTACTGCAAAAAAAGCAATAGGTGAATTAATTTAATAATGCAATGACGCATTTCAATTAGGTATATATTTACTAAATCATTTTAATGTTAACCATGCGAGAAAATTCTCCTGCCATAAACCTCTAGGATTTTGCTCCCCTAATGGGTCACTAAAATGAGCAGTAAATAATCTTTAAAATTCTTGGGATGGAAGGAATAACTAGATGATGTACTCAGATCAAGCATCTGATCAAATACTCCCTCTTACTGTCAGAAATATTCTGACTATAATCTAGTTGGTGATCCATTCCATTTATGAGAAAATTAAAAATAGATGAGGCAGATTATAACGTGATCAGTACTATAAAATAAGATAAGATAATATACTGGAGAGAAAAAGGTCAAGAAGCAGTTGCCTTCAGGAGAAGACTTTACACCAACAACTAAAGAGGACTTTGAAAAAGAAGCCAGTTCATACCCAAGACCACCATTGTTCAGGTATTCTCTTCAGTGAATTCTGTGTCATCTGGACTTCTTTGGCAGAGGTAGGTCAAGATAAATGAACACCACAAACACAGTCTGTGAGTAGTAAACTTGGATGTGAGGAAGGCACCTGGAAAATAATATTCAGAAGGTCGTTGAAGAATTTTGTGGCTCGGGATGATCAGACCTAAGCAGACTACATGAATGTGTCTTGTGAAGATTCTGGAATTTGTGTCATAACAAAGAAATGGAACTTCTGTGAGCTGAGAGGAAAGGAGGAGGAGGATCAAGCTGGTGGAAAATTTCATAATATTCTGGAAGATCCTTGAATTTAGGAGAATGAATGAGAATTTATTTGGGTTCTTGAATAATTTTTAATGTTTCAGAGATTTTGAGGGTAGGGTTTGCATTTCATTTGTATTGTGACTCTGGAGGTAGAGAACTTCCCATAAAAAAGAGAATAAATAAATACATATTTGATGATAAAAAAGAAAAAGTTATATATATATATGTTTATTTAGATTTATTTATTTATACATACAGAGCTGGGGTACAGGCTAGAGATGTAGGGGTGGCGAGAAGATTCACCAGGGTGGGGAGCAGAACAGGTCAACTGACGAAGTACACTGCTGAGGGGAGAAGCGGGAGGGTCAGTAGAGGTCTGCTGTACCATGTGGATCAACTCTGGGGAAGGCAGGGATTGAACTCATGCTGAAGTGGCTTTAGCTTCATCATCTTTTTTTTTTTTTAATGTAATAGTTTATTTTTTTAAAGATTTATTTATTTATTCATAAAGAACTGGGGTACAGGCCAGAGATGCGGAGGGTGAGAGGATTCGCCAGGGACAGAGCTGGGAGCAGAGCAGGCAGATCGACGAAGTACACTGCTGAGGGGAGCAGCGGGCAGGCCAGGAGAGGTCTGCCGCGCCATGTGGTCACCTCTGGGGCAGGCGGGAATTGAACTCATGCGGAAGTGGCTTAAGCTTCTCAGTGCTGTGCTTTAACCCACTGCGCCACAAGGGAGGGCCAGTAATAGTTTATTTTTACATCATTTTGTACATTTTTTTTCCATCTCAATTGTAATCCCCGAGGGCTTCCCATCACCGAGTCACCCATGTGCCATCACCACCGTCCCGTACACCTCCCTTCTCCCCTGTTTGATCCATTCCCCACTCCACCCTCACAAAATGTCTCTGATATATGACTGTTCATCACTCTTTTTTTAATAATTATTTTTACATCATTTTGTACATTTTTTTCATCTCAATTGTAATCCCCATGGGTTTCCCATCACCGAGTCACCCATGTGCCATCACCATAGCCCCGTGCACTTCCACCCCCCCTTTTTATCCCATTCCCCAATCAACCCCCACAAAATGTCTCTGGTATATGTCTGTTCATTATTCTTATTATTTTCTCGCCAGGTCCATTATACTCCTGCTATGAGCGAAACCATCCGGTATTTTTCTTTCTCTTTCTGGCTTATCTCACTAAGCTGCTCATAGTATTCTCTGATTATTCTTTTGATTTCTGCTGGGTCTGTTGTGATTTCTCCTCTTTCGTTTATGATTCTGTTTATTTGTGCTTTCTCTTGTTTTTTCTTTGTGAGCCTGGCTATTGGCCTGTCTATCCTGTTTACTTATTCAAAGAACCAACTTTTGGTTTCATTGATTTTTGGACTGTTTCCTAACTTCCATTTCATTTATTTCTGATTTGACTTTTATTATTTCCTGTCTTCTGCTTGCTTTTGGGTTATTTTGTTGTTCTTTTTCCAGTTTTTGAAGGTGGTACATTAGGTTGTTTCTTGAGTTATTTCTTGTTTCTTTATGTGAGCCTGTATTGCTATGTTTTCCTCTTATAACTGCTTTTAATGTGTCCCATAAGTTTGGAGACTTATGTCATCATTGTTGTTCTTCTCCAGGAATTTTTAAGTTTCTACTTTGATCTCCTCATTGATCCATGGTCCTCCAGTAGTGTGAGTTTCAGTCTCTACGTGGTAGGTGGGTTTCTTGTCTTCCTCATATGGTTTATTTTTAGTTTGATGCGTTCATGGTAAGAGAAGTAGTTGGTATGATGTTGATCTTAGTGTATCTACTGGTATTTAACTTGTGGCCCAGTATGTGGTCAATCCTAGAGAATGATCCATGTGGATTTGAGAAAAATGTGTACTGAGATTTTTTGGGGTGCAATATTTTATAGATGTCTGTTAGACCCATGTTGTCTAGGTCTTGGTTCAGAGATTTGGTGTCCTTGCTTATTTTTTGCTTGTTGATCTGTACATTGTGGAGAGTGGTGTGTTGAAGTCTTCTACTATGTATGTATTTTCTCTGATACACGTTTTCCTAGATGAAAGAAGATTCCTGATATATCTTGGTGATCCTTCATTTGGTGTATTTATATTGATGATTGTTATGTCTTCTTGTTGTATTGTCCCTTAATCATAATGTATTGGCCATCTATGTCACTTTTAGCATTTTTTAGTTTGAAGTCTGTTTTATCTTAAATAAGTGTAACTGTCCCTGCGGCCTTCTTTTTTGGTCCATTTGCTTGTAGGATTGTTTTCCATCCTTTTATTTTCAGCCTGTTTGTATCTTTTGCAGTTAGATGTGGTTCCTGCAGACTACAGAATGTTGGGTTCTGTTTTTGAATCCATCCTGCAAATCTGTGTCTTTTTATTGAAGTGTTTAAGCAATTTGCATTTAGAGATAATATTGATATAATGGCATGTACATTTGCCTTTCTGGTTCTTTTGTATTTTTATTCCTTGTTTTGAACTGTTTTGTCCATTCTTTGTTGCATTTAGTTTGAGGTATTTTTGGTAGTATTTTTTTGAGGAAGGTTTATTCATGTAAAAATTGTGGAATATCTGTTTGCCTAAAAATGTCTTATTCTTTTTTCAACTTTGCAGGATAGAGTAATCTTGGTTGGCATTTGATGTTTTGGAGATTGTTGAGTATGACTCTCCACTCTTTTCTTGCCAGTAGTGTTTTTTTGGAGAATTCTGATGTCAGCCTGATTCGTCTCCCTTTATAGATTATTTGTTTCTTCCCTCTTGTCATTCTCATTATCTTTTCCTTGTCTTGTATTCTTGGTAATTTTACTATGATGTTTAGTGCTGTTTTTCTCATTGTAGTTTGGTCTTCTTCTTGCTTCTTGGATGTTTTATCTACTTCTGCATATTAGGGAAGTTCTCTTCTATTGTCTCTGTGAATATTTTCTCGATTCCTTGGCCTTTCTCTTCACCTTCTGGGATACCAATAACTCTGATATTTCCTTTCCTAGAGATGTCAGGTAGCT